GGCCTGGACGAGTGCGCCGGCTGTGGCTGCCGGGATCGGTGCGGCGGCCGCAATTGCGTCCCGACTTTCGAAATAGGATAATTTTCGAATTCGAATAGGAAATAGGAAACTGCGGAAACAGCTACGCCCCTGAATCGACGGTTGTCGGAGAGGAGAGCTCCCGTTTAATCCATCACTTGCGTGTGTCGAGAAATTCCGGGCATCGAATGTGCCTCGATACACGTGTTCCTACGTGGATAATTCAGAGAGAAGGTTTTATTCTGTTCAGAGTGGACTGGGAGAACTAGAGGAAGCTCTTCTCATATTAATGCTTGTCCTGGTTATGATTCTCTCTTACCTGCTGCGCGCGATGCGGATGCTCTAAGCAACAAGCGGGAGAAACAGACTTTCGTACGTGATACTCATCTCCCCGTGCTTTTTCTTCAATCCTCCTTCACTGCCTTCTTTAGTTTCTTGCCTCTCTCTTATCCTATGTATGCTTTTCTAAGAATTTGCGCTTCCAGCCAGCTATAAACAGCTATAAACCAACTTTGGCTAAGTGCCAGAAGGGCCGCGCACGAGACGCGCCGCGCGGGCGTTAAAGGGACGGAAGCAGCTCGGGACCGGACGCCTCGAGTCTCTGCCTACCGTCTCAGCGAGCCTAGCGAGCCTTGTGGAAATCGCTATAACTTCCTCATCGCGCCATATTGAGGGATGAAAGTGCTATCATCTTCGTCAAGGCGTAGAGGGTTCCAAACAGCACGAATTCATTTTGACGGATCACACTTTATCCGAAGTGTCTTACCAGGGCAACTATCAACAATACACTAGCAACAGTAAAGAAACTAGCGAAAGTGCAAAATCCCCCCCCCCTCCATCCATCCGCAAAGCTGAACAGCGCCAAAATTTCGAGGCACTTCTCACTTCTAACCGGTCTACCGCGAGCTGAAGAGAATGATCAATCGGACTTCACTAACCTCTATCCAAAATATATGCGATATTTGTTTGTGCCGGCTCATATCCAAGTTCGGCTAGGAATAAATATTTTATAGCTGCTTCATCACGACGCCCTTCCTAAAGAATGTGGATTTCTTCTTTCAGGTAATTACCTACTAATATCAATCCGTACAACAGTGCAGAAACGAGCAATAATATCAACAAGGTGATAGGGAAGGTCACATATAATAAAGACACAAACAAAATCATTATCAGAAACCTATGTTTACCTTGTAAGCAGTGTAAGCCTCCATCAAACGCTCACTCCAACGACCTCGTTCCGCTACATTCTTGTAGAACTCAACAGCTGTAGTACACTGTCTCAAAACTCCGATTCCTGAAGTGTTAAAGTATTACACGAATTGCAATGATCTCATGTGTGGAAAAAACGTGACGAACCAAGATAGTTGGATGGGGGGGGGGAAGATTACACCATAGTTTCAGACTGCTTCTGTTTGATAATGTGTTACGCTGCAGTCACACGAGTCCGAAAGCTATCACAAGGAGAGAACAGACATGTGTAGCCGACTATAGCTGTACTATTCACAAGAATGCTGAGTTAATGCAAAGTTCGGATCACCGCGACGGGATACCGTCCCCGTGGTCCGACTTTTGCCCTATAACTCAGCATTCTTGTGATAGCTACACTATAGTGGCTACACGTCTGTAATCTCCAAGGCGACCCTCTCCTGGCAAGGTAGGCTTCATTCGAGGCATGGCAAAGGCGGGCAATTAGGCATTACAAATGACGCACGTGCGCGGCATTTGCACCAGGATAGATTCCGCGTTACAATGCTGCAAGGTGCCCACAGAACCGCTTAGTAAATACTCTGCTTACTCGCGCACCATGGAGCGTTCCCGATGTCATGATCTGATCCCCGACAAACGATCACCTTCTTGGTAGGCGACGCAGAAATGCAGCGCCAGTCAGGGCGTAAGTTAGACCCCAGCGAAGGGGTTCATATTTGGCCGCTAGAGAGAGGGTGGTCGCATTTGCCTCTGAGAAAAATATTTTCAAATGCTGCCTTTCCTTTCGTTTTTTTCCTGTTTCTAGTGCGCTGTAAAACCCCTTCCCTTCCTTCCGCTCCTAACCTTCTTGGGGACAAGAAGGAATTTCGGAAAAATAGGGCTGTAGGAAGTTGAGAAAGTTTGGGAAGATGGTATGTAGACTGAGGTTGGGGAGGGTGGTCATCAGAAGAGAAAATCCTGAGGCTGCGTTCATACCGTGCGACGTAGTCGTCAACGTCGACGTAACCGACGTTTTCGACGTCAGTCGATACGTATCTAATCTTCTGTCGTCGGTTACGTCGGTTACGCAGCTTTCGTCACTTACGCAGCTTTCGTCGGTTACGTCGCTTACGTCGGTTTCGTCCGTTACGTCGGATCGATACGTATATAATCTTCGCGAACTAGTCGTCGAAAACGTCGGTTACGTCGCTTTCGTCGGTTACGTCGACGTTGACGACGCCGTCGCACGGTATGAACGCAGCCTAAGGGGGGAAGAGGATAGTCGCATTTGCAAAAAATATTTTCCAACGGTAGGACGTCCTTTGGCCCCAGTACTCCACGGCTGTTCTGTTTTTCAACTAACTCAATGATTTTTTTATTTCCAATGATTTTTCACCAGTTCTGCTGCACCGTCCATTGGTCCCCTCTCCCTAAAACCCAAAATTCTGGTTT